GGTTCGTTATAACTAACTAACTATATATATATATATATATATAGGAATGACTATATAAATGTGTAAGTAAATCATTTCTTCCATAAATAGCCTTCGATGAGTTTTATCATGTTTCCGAAGTGGATGAACATTTACCGTTGTCGTCGCCATCAATCAAATTGACGATTTCTCTAGCGGCTGCCATCTTGAGTTGCTTACTGAAGTCGTAAATAAAATTACCTTCAGCAGAAGTGGGCATTATGTTTAGGTGCCCTACTCACAGGGAGCAAATGAAAGTCGCTCAGTAATTTGACGCACCCAGTTCTTCAATGATTTGGGTGTAAATTAAGTTGTCAGAGTATGATATGAAGCGACTAACCAAAAGTACACACGTCATTAAATCTTTTGGCCCTCGCATTCTGGAGAATGAAACAAAGTTTTATCAGAGGGCACTGTATTTTACCGATTTGTCTTATCCACCTGAATCTTTACAAATAGCACTCACTGTAGAGTAGACACCATAATATATTCTTCTTCAGGAAAGCAAGGATCATGTTGTAAGTAAAGGTATGTCTTTATTGAACTAACCATATATTCCAGTTTTGAATGCTAGATCAGACTTACACACTGTATGTTAGATATTGGTAACAATTAGACTCACACACTGTTTGTTAGATATTGGTAAAAATTAGACTTACACATTGTATGTTAGATATTGGTAACAATTAGACTTACACACTGTATGTTAGGTATTGGTAACAATTAGACTTACATACTGTATGTTAGATATTGGTAACAATTAGATTTACACACCGTATGTTAGGTATTGGTAACAATTAGACTTACACACTGTATGTTAGGTATTTGTAACAATTAGACTTAATACTGTATGTTAGATATTGGTAACAATTAGACGTACACACTGTTTTCATCATATATTCCCAGTTCTACTTTTTCCTAAGGAATATAACTTCCCCAGAAAAAATAATCCCATACTATATAGCTTCAAAGTGATCAAGCTATTTTTACATATTACCTGTAATGTTTTATAACGTCCAGATAAAAAATCCTATGAAACCAACGTATTGCTTCAGAAGTTACATATGCAACTATGGAAGATATGTCTTGTCCATTGTTTGTTTGTCGAGATAAAATAACATGTTATAACATTTTGTGTAACTACGTGAATGAGGTGTTAAACAAGAAATTAATAATTCATTTCTACAGAACGAGTTCATTCATTATTATTATGTTGATTGAAGAACATATTAAAAAAATATTTTCTTGACGTTCTCTGACGGAAACGTGAATATTCAATATGAAATGAACTTTCTTACGTATCCATTAGCACTGTAAATGTATACAGCAATAAATTAACTACATAACTATTCCCAGTTGATAAAATCCCACGTCTCGCATTAAGATCATATTAACTCTGATTATATTATCTTTAGAACAATAGTACACATTGATATCCTCAAAACATTTTAAACATGATATTCAAATGATCTTTCAACAAATAAATGAAGAGAACGTCATATATGACACTTGTGTAAAAGCGTCAAGTCCGAAAGTGCTTATTTTATACGTTCAGCCTTTCGTTTTATCCATCACACACCTGTATCGAATGTGAGTGAAACTGCCATCATAGGTAAATATATATATATTTACTTCTGCTAGAAGAAATAAACCAAAATTACGACTACGTTTTTCATCAAATCTTACACACATTTTTATTTTATCTCTTATAAAGCGTTGAAGGCTCTTAGCAGTTGAAAATTGATAATAAATGAAATAATGAAAGCCTTTCTTAAGTGTTAAGGATTGATCTACAGGCTTAATCAGGTGTAAACTGAGAACAGATTTATAGATATGGTCTTTGTTGTCCATGAAAATGATTTCGCTAATATCATTGAGACCTAGTGTAGTTAAGTTGGGACCATCCCAAAATAAAGAAATCGTTCAAACTACAAGTTCCAGCTAAGAAATATATTATTGTTTTTATCAGAAACCTTAATAAATTTAACATACTGATATATTTCAGTTCTTACCTAATATGTTCCTTACAGTTTGTTTTGTAGGATCACTGACTCATAGACCTGTCATGGCTTGGTGGTTAGGGTTCTCGACTAGCACCCTGGGGGTCACGAGTTCAAATACCCGCCACCGAAAATGCTCGTCCAATATGGTTGTTGACTTAGCTAACCATTCAGGTGTAAAAATTCTTAACTTACAAAATTACCGGCCGACACCAACCTAGTTGGGATTAAGGGCAAAGTGAAAAAAGAAATTGAATTATAATGTGATTTCTTACCTACGTTACTCAAATTAAACTAAACGTACTTTAATAAAATCTATTGTTATAATAATTTTAAGTAAAATGACTTTTCAGGTAATGTTTGTTCCAATCAATGTTCATATAATTATATGAAAAGCTTTATCGCTGTGATATTTCACGTGGGTATACGAGCCCTAAAATATGGTTCGTTGTGAAAGTAAGATATAAATCAGAAGCAATGCACGAACCACATAGGAGTCATATTGGTATCATATAACATTCTATTATTGACTGCCGTAGGGCCGATGATAGCTTAACTGCAGCCATAGCTAGAAATGTAGGCCCTGCCGCTACTCACGTTGAGTCCCCCGAGAATTTGGCGCTTTAGGTAGCTTCCTATGCTGGTTATTCTTAATCCCGTATCTGAAGTTACAGTTACTTCATTATAAAAGTTCTAATTATTACAGTTCAACTTACACGGGAAAAGGCAGTGCACGGAGATTACATTATTCAGTATTTTCGGTTACTAAAAATAAGAAAGGGGGATAAAATGAAATATTTAAAGGTATCATTATTATTATATTCTGTGCTTCTCGTGTCACAACCGACTGATTTTTAATATCCCGATCGACAAATACAAAAAAAACTGGCGTTTTTTTTTCTGACACACCACAAAAAATGGACGCTTTATGTTGAATCAAGTAATAAAAAGAACCTTCTGGAAATCGCAACGTTCTATAGCATGTTACAATGCTGTACACAAATAAAGCATCCACTCAGTTTCAGATATTCTTAAAAATACTTATTTATAGCTTCAAAGATTTACATAGTTAATAAAAATGTAATAGTTTCTCATTTTAATCTTAGAAGTAATGTTCAGGAACTTGATTTACTTAATCTTAATTTATATGCATATGACACATTTCAAAATTATTAAAAAAACGAATGGCGTCTTAAGCAGCTAAAAAGCTTAGACTCGCGTATTGATTTTTTGTAAAACTGTCATGTTAAAGTAGCTTGCGACATACTCGTACATACACATATATGATAGAGAAAAGTAAAAGCGTAATTTAAATAGCCTAAAACAATAAAGTGAGGCGGAAGAACGTAAAATGATGGTAGCAAAGCGTGTTGTATATGACAATATTCTTAAATTCAAGACCGAAAAATATAAAACGTTTGTACGCGAGTCACATTCGGATAATGAAGACACAAAAACATTAATATTGAAATGGCGTTTTATTTTCAATAAGCAACGATTTATTGTACACAATTCTGAAAATAAGACTGTTACTAGTCTCAAAAATACAATAAAGCACTGAATAACTTACTGCACAGGATAAAAGAAAAAAAAAACAATGTCAGTTAATAATATAATTTTGGGGACTGGAAACAGTCTCATCGTTGTTTATTGAAAATGAGCTTTTGATTTTAAACAAAAACATGCAAAACAAAGATTAGTTAGCAGAAAAAGAACCGCGGTACTCACAGAACGATTAGTACACTGTTCGACCGTATTCACCTAATTGCTTAAATTGATAGCACATTTCCGACAGAGTCAGAAAGTTACGTTTCCTGGGGCACGGCATGACCAGGTGGTTAGGGCGCTCGTCTCGTAATCTGAGGGTCGCGGGTTCGAATCCCCGTCACACCAAACATGCTCGCCCTTTCAGCCGTGGGGGCGTTATAATGTGACGGTCAGTCCCACTATTCGTTGGTAAAAGGAGTA